TCTAAGTACAACTTAAACCTGAGTTCCTACTCACTCCCTCTCAATCACAGCAGTGATACATAAACCAATTTGACTTAAGAATTGATGAAGACACTCTTCAAAAATAAACACTTGATTAAGCTTCACGGCCTTTTAATCAAGCAACACAATCACTCTTGCTTCATAGCTTTGAGTGATGTACACAACTAACTTGACTCTGCTTCACAGCTTTAGTCAAGGAACATTCAAACACTCTTGCTTCAAAGCTTAGAGTGCTACACAACCCTTACAATTAGAAACCTATTCCAAGGCACTTATCACAATGATAATTGCTTGGAGTACAATAATCAAATCTATACAGATTACAAATGATCTTCTAATCAATAAAATCCATCCTTGAAAAAACAGCAGCTCTGTTGAATATATAGCAGCTGCAACTTCAGTTAGGGTTTCCAAAAACCTAGGGTTAATTCCGTTTGACCTAAAGACCAGGTCACAGGACTTTATTAACCAGGTTAGGGTTGAGCTAGGTTACCCCTCAGAAAACGCAGGATTCTGTTCAGGAAGGACTGAGTTATTTCCTGAAAAAACTCAGACTTATCCAATCCTGCAATCCTGTTAGTTCAGAACAGGATGTCATAACATCTGTTATGACATCGAAGAAAACCTGTCTACTGATTTAGCAAAATGTGATCATTTTGCAAAATGCTCAGATACACACTTATAAACATCAGTATTTGAATTACAATATTTTTCTGCAAAGGTACCTAATGAGTCAGTACAAACTGAACTAGAATGTTATGACATCAGTCATGACATTCACACATACACTTGGGATTTAGCAAAAATGCAAGCCAATACCTAAACACCTACACATTTCGACCAACTCGTGTTTTGGCACTTGTGTGAAGCATGTTGCCTTCAACAAATGGAATCTGTTGAGGTAATCGTCTATGGGCTCACTAAATTTTTGCTTGACATTTGCCAATTCTCTTAAACTAATCATGGTTTGTCTTACATAAAATTGTTCATGAAACAGCCTCTCCAAACGAGTCCAATCATGGATGGAATTCGCCACGAGGGTGGTGAACCAAGTAAAAGCATTTTTTGTCAGCAAAGAGGGGAAGTATTTAATCCTTAGATTTTCATTATTTGCTATATCTCCCGCCTCCGTAAGGTATCTGGAGATATGTTCTATGGTAGATTCGCTAGTGTCGCCAGAAAACTTGGTGAATTTGGGTACTTTCCATCCCCTTGGCAATTCAGTTTGTTGAATATATTATGACAAAGGGTGTGTATAATTTGGTCTACACACGCCTAAGTTTACCCCATTTCGTGCCATAATCCTTTCGACTAAGGCTGCTAGGTTATTGTTTCCCACCATATCATTATGTTGATAACCCTGAAGGATTTCATCAGCATCTTGGTTTCGATTCACCAAAACTACCTTTCTCCCTGGTTCCTCCCTAGGGATAGCCTGTTGAGGTCTGGGTGGTTCCTCCCTTCGAATTTGTTAGTGGACTTCGACTTCAGGGTGAATCAAAAGTTGGGCCTGGTTTATGGTTGGCTCTTCTTGGAATATGATGCCTTGATTCTCCCTTACCCATGTGGGATGTGGGGGTGGTTGTCGAACTGCTTCTCTGGGTGCACCAAAGAAATCTTTAAGACGCCCTATTTGCGCTGCCATCTGTTGGTTTGCTTGGCCATTTTGCAAGTTAGTTTGGGTAGTGCTTTGAATTAAAGGGTTGAAAATTGTACCCATCTATTGGGCCAATACGCCCAACATCTCGTGGTTGCTATCATCCATTTGTTTCTTTATGACTGCTTGCGTATTTGTGGTGATAGAAGGTATTTGGGTTGGCTGTGAATCCTTTCTAGCCATATGTTTTATCCCAGACCATGATCCTTGCAATGGTGATAAAGTAGATGTTACAGGACGGGTGTATGTCGACGTATTATTTTAGAATCCCGTCATGAACGAAGTTGGCATGCCATATATAGGATCTGATGTAGGGATTATAAATCCTGGTGGAAAAGTTCTTGACATACCTATCAAAGGCCTGGGTGTTGATGGTGGATTTTGATTGGCCATAGACACAATGGTATGTTCGTTATGGGTGTTTGATGATATAGTTGAAGCGTTTGTATTTTGGGGTATAACTACAACGCTTGTTGTCGAAGGGATCGTTGCAGTCCCTTGACTCGCCGTCATCACTTCGTTTGTATTTGAAGCGCTGGTATTTCCTCACACAGGAGGGTGAACTTGTTGTGCATCACTAGTGGGTGGGTTATCCATTCCCCTAATGTGTTGTCCTTTTGGTCTAGGATTTGTATTGTTGGCTAGTTTTCCACTTCTCAGTCTCATGCAATAAACAAGTTAAAATTAAGATGGATAAAGACACAGATCCCACCGGGTGTGCCAATTTGTTTACCCTCGAATTTTGGTAAACAACCGTTGATCTTCCAAATCCTTTCACGAATCCAGTTACTTGCGAGATCGATCAGATTGATCTCAGGACACGAGTGTCTTTATTAATCCTTTAACTCGGTTGTTGTATTTTAACATGTTTTCTATATGAAGACAAATGACTTCAAATGTCGAATTAAAATGCATATAAAGTGAAAGTAAAATTACTTCTAAACTTGAAATGGTAAAAGACTTAAGTAAATGTTACTGGAAATTCTGCAGAAAGTAAATGCATTTATATTAAATGAGTGTATCATACGTACATCCTCAATAAACTCGTTTCTCTTTAACACTTGGTACTTTGAGTAATTTATGAGTAATTTGTACAAAGATGTTCACCACCTCTCATCGAAATACTAAGGCCACTATTTATACTACTTCGATCCTAACGGTCTTCTACACGAATTAATGCCACATTTCTGTTTGCATGTCTTTGATGAACTCAGAGCCTTCCACGCGTCTTTTCGGATAAGATCAAAAATATTTGAATTCGAATCTCCTTCTTATCTTGAGCGCCAATCTCTGAAGACGGTCGAAAAAATATTTGAAACCTTAGCCACATTTCGAATAAAAATCTTTATTCAATAATTCGAATTGGTAAACCTTTCCAACGAATTTTACTCAATTCGAATCTCAATATTTATTGCTTCGCATAAATAAAGTAATGGAATATTTTGAAGTATATTCGAGTTTAACTTAAAAACCCTTAGTCAAAATTTCCAGCTAACAGACGCACGGAAGAGGAGTTCGAAATTGGGCATGTGTTGATATTCCTAGTTGTGTTCACGTCTCGAAGTAGTTTGTTTTGCTTTTTTTTCAAAAAAAAAAAATTCTTTCACTCTGCCCAAGGTGAAATTCATGTTGTGTTGGTTTATCTTTGATTCAGATTTTAAAATCATTAGTAAAAGTTATTTTTTATTCAACTATGTTTTTAATTCCTCTTTCTTGGAAAATGGTAATCTAAAAACCCTTTAAAGATAATTGTCAATAAATATGCATAATCACTTGTTGCATTTATCTGTTTCTAAAATCAAGCATAATCATATGTGCATATTAATTAATAAAACTGTTGAAAACAATGGCCCTACGCCCTCTCCCAACTTTGAATATCATGTGTATGAATCAGAAGAATATGAGTTGATTGAAATTCCGGAAGATGTCTCTCGATTGCTTGAGCACAAGGAGAAGACCATTCAGCCATATAAAGAGTCGTTGGAGACGATTAACTTGGATTCTGAAGAAGATAAGAAAGAAGTCAAGATTGGGGCACTGCTTCATCCAGATGTGAATAGTAGGTTGATTGATTTATTGAAGTAGTATGTTGATATCTTCGCTTGGTTCTATTAAGACATGCCTGGTTTAGATATTGACATTATGGGACATCATTTGCCGTTGAAGCCTGAATTCCCACATATGAAACAAAAGTTAATGAGGACTCACCCTCCTATCTTGCTTTTTACCTGGCTTAGGCTTCTCATTTCATCAGCATAACATGCATGCATTCATAGGACACATTGGTTCAAAAGGTCAACAATGTTAAGGTTTTAAATTGGTTGAAGATTTCTACATCCAATAAAGTCTAATTTCTCTAGCTCTTCTTAGTGCATTAAGTTGTGGAATTAGGATTATGAAGTATGGTTATCCTGAGCATCATTCTCCTTAAGCTATAAGGCTATTACGGTTTATTTCCCTATGTGCGATCAAAGTTAGGGTTTTTCAGCTATTGTCCTCCAATTGAGGTTTCTTCTTCAAAGATCATGGAATTAGGATTTGGTTATTCATTGGTTTCACATTCTTTGTGTATGATTATGTTCATCAATTGTGACTCAGTGGATTAGGGTTACATCTCATGGTTATCTTGAGCATCCTTCAAGTCTTATCTTCATCAAAGGATTCTTCAAGGCATTGTTATGATGATTGCTCATTAAGTCAAGATAAATTTGTGGATTTAAGTACAAGATAGGAGGCAAGAGATTCATTGAGATAAAGTCATTTTCGTTCTCTTATGGATTGTTACTTGTAATGCTATATTGAGGGGGATTGAAAAATGGAATTGGTGTGGATTCATTATGGTGAAAGTATTCACTCAATTGATTATTTGGTGCCATGAGTTCAAATAGTTCAAGTTTGTCAAATTGAATTAATCTTCTAAGATGCAAGTATGGATTTTTTTGAGTTCAAGTTTCAACCTTATTCATTCAAGATCAATATCATTCTCCATTATTATTATTATTATTCAAATATCATTCAAGATCATATTATTCATCATAATTCAAAGTCCATTCAAGATTCATTCAAAGTTTCATTAAGTATCAAAATCATTCAAAGGTCATCTTGATTCAAATCGCATTTTCAAGTTTCTATCACAAGGACATTACATCAAGGAAAGTTTGAAATCCAAGTGAAATTGGTACAAAAGGAATGCTTTATAACCTATTGAGAAAAAGAGAAAATAAGTTGACCAAGTCTTCATGAAATCTTCACTATGCTTCTAATCTTTGTTTTGCAAAGTTCCATTGAAATCATGCTCAAGTTCACTAATCTTCAAACTTCATTACAATGCAGCATTGCCAAAAAACCGTGTTTCAGGAAATAAAATCGATACAAAAACTTGAACCAAAACCTCCTTGATTCCTGAACATAAATCAGTTAACATCCAAACTGACAAATATACACAACCCGATCTCGGTGCCATGTTCAAATATCAAACAAGAAAATACAAAGAAATTAAACGAAGGCTGTTCATCTTATCCATCCGATTTTTAAACAAACTTCAAAAATCAAAGGCTAAGATGTGTTTACCTGTAACAAACTTCGCAGCCCATATAAACCTTGATCTCTACAATTTCTAGGGATTCTTCACCACTTTTGAAGAATCACAAAAACTCACCTCAAACTTCTCTCTGCTTCCTCTCTCAATCTTCATTCCCTTTCAGCAAATCACCATAAACCTTCCCTCTCTTCCACACCTTGCACCTTCATCGACTCTCTGCACAACATCGTGCTTCATCTCATCATCTTTATTGCAACCTGCATCATCATCATCAATATTCTCTGCATCACCTTTTGAATCATGCACACTAACATCGCGTTTCTTCACTACAAACAACAACAACAAACAATACCACATAAATGCAAAAACAACATTAATGCGAGAACCGAAAAAAGCACATAATCGGAGAGAAGAAGGAAGAAGCGTAAACACGAACTACCTGAGTTGCAAAGTGAAGAAGCACTGGGCACTGGAGGTTGAGTCGAAGCCTAGGGACCTTATCTGTTGGTTAAAGAAGCGTAAACACCATTTGACTGTGAACAAGACACTCGCTTGAACCTTATTTGTTGGGCCTTTGTGCCATTTTGTTGATCCAAACACGCAGTTCTAGATTGTATATCCCCTCTATTTAAAGTTTTCTCTTTTCTTTCCTTATTTTTCTATTAATCTTTCTTTACATAATTTTGATAATTGATTAGTGATAAAAGGAAATATAAAAATAGATGCTAATTGATTTTAGGATTTTTCTTTAGAATTTAATTAGAGTTTTCTAGTGTTTTTTTCGTGTTGGTAATCATTTGTTGTTACTTTCTCGCCATGATTTTTGTGATAGAATGTTGATGCAATTTTTGTGATATGATATGCTCGAGTATTAATTTGGTTGATCATTTGTGAAGCTTCTACAAGTGTTCTTGAGCTTTTTGTGCGTGTTGAAGAGACAACCGACCTTTCTCCATTAGGTATCATTTGAAACTCTATTTTATCTCTTCCATGCCTTATTCTAGGTCTTAATTCCATGATAGAAGCATATTGAGTACATCTGAAGTGCAACCTCGAAGTAGGAAATGTTTGATACATGTTTGGTTGATTTTCTAATGAGTATGCTACACTCTTAGATAAATCTCACCTTAAATAGCTTGTATCTAACTTGTATGCCAAGTTTTTTTTACCTTGTTAGGTTCAAAAGTGTTTTCTTCAAGTGCTTGTGAAATTTTCTAGTGTAGGTTATATAAACTTGATTGCATGATCTTTTAGGACTTGAAGTTTAGGTTGTGTGTATACTTGAAAAGATGTACATCATGATGCCATGCTTAGAAACTTGATGAAGTTGTTGTAGAATTGAATGTCTTGAAGCATGATAGAATGTTCACCTTAATACTCAATTCTTGTTTCATTTTCTCTTTGACTTGAAATATGATGCCATACTTGTTTCCATGAGCTTACTTTTAGCCAATCCTTGAAACCTTTAACATTTTTTGTGATACTTGTTCACATATTTGATACATGTTAATTACTTGTTGAAAACTTGTTCAAACCTGGTGATTACTTGTTAACTTATTTCTTGATTACTTGTTCACTTATTTATTGAATATTTGTTCTCGTCTTTGATACTAGGCCAATGTGCTTACGTGTTCACCTACTTAGCTTTCATGTTGCTATGTTTACACACTTAATGTTTGGATGCTTATTTATTTCCTTTAATTCATGTTCAGCTTGATGACTTGTTTATTCTGTGGATTTAATGTTCAAATCGGTAATTTGTCTAATACATGTTTAGATGTTCATCTTCAAGTTAATTGTTATTGATGTCTTGTGATATTTACCTTACTTTTTCGTGTGATCTATCTTTACCTAATACTTGTTTAAGCTGTCTCTTGTTCTTGAGATCTTGTATGTCAACCTTACTTGTTGATGTGATCATTTGCCTTGTCTAATGCATGTTTACATGTTCATTTTCAAGTTGTTTGTTCTTGAAGCTTTGTATGGCCACCTTACTTTTTGGTGTGATTTGTCTTTACCTAATACTTGTCTAGTTTCTCTTGGTACTTGAGATATTTTTGGCATGTGATGCATGTTCACTATTTATCTAATACTTGTTTAGGTACTTTATCTTAGGAATTGTCATAACATGTATTGGTATGTGATGCATGTTTACTCCTTTCCTAATGCATGTTAGATTTCCAAGTTGATTTGGTTTCTCATTGAAGCTTGTATGTCAACCTTACTTGTTTGTGTGATTGTCCTTATCTAATACTTGTTTAGGTTTTCTTAATTGTTGGAATAACTTTGATATGTGAAGCATGTTCACTCCTTATCAAATTCTTTTTTAGGTACCTTTATCTTAAGTGTTCTCACACCATGTCTTTTCTATATGATGCATGTTCACCCTTTTAACTAATATTTATTTAAGTGTTATCCCTTATTTCATTAAAGATGATTTTGCTTATTGTGATGCATGTTCATATGTTTACCTAATGGTTGTTTAGGAGACTGCTTTTGCATCTTTGCTATGACAACTACTTTCTATGTGTTATCTAATGCATGTTTAGATATCTTTCACTTGAGACTTATGATGGTTGATGTTACCTAATATATTTCTAGATACTTATTCTTGCATTCCTTTTGCATATCACTTGTTTGTGTGATTGCTTTCCTACTTATTTAGCTATTCTTTGTTTAGTCTTGAGTCTTGTTAGACTTAAGTGCTTATTTGTTTTGATACCTTGTGTCATATATAAAATTAATCCATGTTTTTGGCTTAGTAGTCGATGCATGTTCAATTTTAAACTATTTTTTGCACATACTCCCTTTTGATGTTTTATCTTCTAGTGACACTTGATTAAGGTATATATATTTTTGAGTATGCTACTGCCTTGGATAGTTATGCAGCTTAAATAGCTTCTACCTTACTTGTATGCCAAGTTTTGTTTACGTTGTTAAGTTAAAAACTTATTTTCTTTAAATACTTGTTGAAATTGTTTAGGGTAGGTTCTAAAACCTCAATTGCAAGACCCTTAAGACTTGAGCTTTAGTTTTGTATCGAACTTGTACATTGGAACTCCCATTCCTACATGTGGATGCCATGCTTAGAAACTTGATTGTCTTGAAGCATGATAAGATTGTTATCTTAATACTTGAACCTTGTTCATATTTTCTTTCACTTCAAAGATGAATATTTACTTGTAGCTAACTATTGAAACCTTTGTCATGATAAGTGAAAATTTCAAATGTTGTGATACTTTTTTACCTCTTATATTACTTTGATACATAATCAAAGACTTTGATTTTTGTTCACTTCTTTTGATACTTGTTCAAATGTTTTAATGCATGAACAATCCTTGTGATACTTATTCAATTTTTATGTTTGTTTACAATCTTTGATACTTGTTCAAAGGATTTGATGCATGTTCAAAGGTTGTAATACTTGTTCACCTCTTATATTCTTTTGATGCATGTTCAATCTATTGGATGTTTTTTCCTATTCTTTGATACTTGTTAAAATGCTTTAGTACTTGTTCTTAATTCTTGATACTCGTTCAAACACTTTGATACTTGTTCAATTATTTTGTGATGCATGTTCACATTCTTTGATACCTGTTCACTTCTTTTGTGATGCATGTTTGAATTCTTTGATATTGGTTCAATTCTTCTTGATGCATGTTCCATCCCTTGGATACTTGTTCAATAATGCATGTTCACATGGTTAATTGAAAGTTGCTTGTTCTTAAACCTTTCATGTTGGTGACTTGTTACTTTTATTGTGTCTAATAAATTTTTAGATTCACAACATGAACTTGTTTGATTTATTTCTGTTCTTGTGAAAATATTCTGATTAATAAATGCATGTCTTGATGTCTTTATTGTTTTCCTTAAAAATATCTTGACCTCGAGGTCTTATCTTACCTAATTCAAGATTAGGTAATTATTATTTTACATGTTTGTCATTATAACATGTTTACCCTAAATCAAGTTTCGGCTTTCTTATCTTGCATGTTTATCATAATAACATGTCTTCCTAAATTAAGTTTAGGATCTCTTAATTACATGGTTACTTATTTGTCATATGTTTGTCTCTTAATTAAGTTCATGATCATATGTTTGCCTTTAGAACATGTTACCTTTCTTGTTGGTGTGATATCTTATATGCATGTTTGTCTTGATAACATGTCACCTTACTTATTCGTGTGGTATCTCTTATACATGTTTGTCTTGATAACATGTTCATATTTTGGTTATTTATATGTCGGATGATATCTCCTATACATGTTAGTCTTGATTACATGCTCATTTATTGCTTGTTTATATGTTGGCTTGATATCTCTTATACATGTTTGTCTTAATAACATGTTCATCTATTGTTGGTTTAGATGTTGTCTTGATATCTATTATACATGTTTTTCATGATAGCATGTTCATCCATTGCTTGTTTATATGTTCCTTATGATACTTTTCACATGTTTGTCATGATAACATGTGAATCTAATACTTGTTTAGATGCTATTATTTGACATGTTTGTCGTGATGACATGTCTATCATATTTCTTGTTTAGGATCGTTTGATGTACCTAATACTTGTTTAAGTGTTCTCTTAAGATATCTTTGATGATTGCTTATCTAATACATATTTAGATGTTGTTGATTATGCCATGCTCCCTTATGTTCTTGATTCAATCTTGGTTAATATTTGAACTGGGTAGACTCTAGGTTTGTGAACTATGCATTATAACAATTAGGTAAGATTCCATGTATCCTAACTTAGGTCCACACATGCATGACAACTAGTAGGATTGAGATCCCTTTTGTCTTGATAGTTCTCTTGCGTTGCAGGTATAATACTTAAGCCTCTTTTCTTGAGAAAATTCTAAAGCATATAACAAATAAATATGAGAACCATACTTCATATGAGCCTTAATAAATTGAAAAGCATGAGAGGGTAAATTCCCTATCTTGTTCTTTCTTCCATTCATATTCTCTGGGTTGGTTCAAATCACAAATTGTTTCAAAAATAAGTGTAGAAGTAGTAAGTGTCCCTCCATTATGATCCATTTTCTATGATCCCAACAAAACACAAAACCAATTCAATTTCTTTTACCACCTGGGCTTTTCCTATTAAAACCTTTCATAAAGGGTTATTACCCAAAAAAAACACAAACAAATCAAAATTGTTTAGAAGAAATATGATGCTCTGGTTCCCTATTATACGACGGGGATGCCTAGGCACGAGGTTTTGAAATCGAGGAAAGCGCAATAATAAAAACTTTCTTTTTGTTATTTAATAATGAAACCACCTGGACGGACCTGTCATCTGGATGTAATGAAACATCAATGAAGTCGCCACCGAACGTCTTTTATCCCGCTGAAAGGGAAAGTTAAACATCGAGAAAACCTGAAAAGGGAGAAATCACGGTCTTTCGACCGAGAGATCGGGTAAGGGAGTCTGTTACGCGATAAAAAAGTATTAGCACCCCACGCGCCCGTAGTACTCTACGGTATCCACTCTTGTTGTCTAGTCTAATGGGTGTGGTCAAAACCTATGTCTATGGCTTAAAACTTAAAAGGGAATGCATGCGAAAGAAACAAAAGAAAACAATGTAGGAAAAATAAAAGTTGTGCTCGATCGGGCCCTACCCCAATGCCTACGTATCCCTTTTAAGGAATCAGAGCAGCCGTAGTTCGGCTTATATATTCTGGTTGGTTTGTATTTTTTAGTTAAGACAACAAAAACAGTCAAGATGGAAAAACATCAAATAAAATAACAAACAAATGAGATGGTAAAACATCGACAAAATAATAACATAGTAACATGTCACAGATGGCGAAACACCAGATGATAAAACAACACACCTAACAATGACATTAAGAGTCAAAGCAGGATAACAAACATATGTGATGGCGAAACATCGACTTCAAACAAATGTGCGATGGCGAAACATCGGCTAAGATATAACAAGGTATCATGGCAAAGATGGAGAAACATCAATAAAACGGATGACAAAACATCACACCTAAAAATGATATTGAGAATCAAAGTAGGATAACAAGCATGTGCAATGGTGAAACATCGGCTTCAAACAAGTGTGCGATGACAAAACAGCGGCTAAAAGGTAGTAAAGTATCATGGCAGAGATGGAAAAACATCAATAAATTGGATGACGAAACATCACACCTAACAATGATATTGAGAATCAAAGTAGGATAACAAACATGTGCAATGGCGAAACATCGGCTTAAAACAAGTGTGCAATGGCGAAATATCGGCTAAAAGGTTTAAAAGTAAAGCCAAGAGGCGCACAAACAAATAATATTGATTTGTATCTTTTACCTTGAAGAAGTGTTTGAGTTTATTAGAGGTGTTTTATGATTTGCCAAGAAAATAATTTTTGTTTTAAGATGCAAAATGCAAAGGAAGGAAAAACAAATAAGGGAAACTAGCCTAGCACTATCCCTAGTGTTATCATACAATGGTTGACCCTAAGGTTGAGGATAAAGGAAAATCCTACCCTATGTTAGCATACATGGATTCCTATCTTAGTTAACATGTTAAAGGAAGCTTAACAAAACTATCCTATAGGGAACATGCAATGAGAGCGAAGTCGTGATCTCAATTTCTAAATTGAGTGACTCATCGATCAACAATTAAAGAAGAAAAACAATAAACATCCTATAGGGAACATGCACTGAGAGCGAAGTTGTGATCTCAATTTATAAATTGAGTGACTCATCGATCAAAAATTAAGGAAGAAAAACAATAAACATCCTATAGGGAACATGCACTGAGAGAGAAGTCGTGATCTCAATTTCTAAATTGAGTGACTCATCGATCAAAAGTTAAAGAAACAAACACAACACATGTATCAGACAAAAAACTAGAGGGTCTCTTGAGATATATCAGCAACAGAGATCCCATCATGCAACATGGAA